TCCGTGGTCATGTGGCCGGTATAACTGAATGCCGAAGGCGCACGGAACGCTGTTTACCTTCCCACCAAAGGTGGTCCCTATTTTTCTACTTGCATTTTTACATGCTTTCAAACTGCTAGGTTGGCAGAAGCTGGGACAAGTAACAGGAGCTCACTCCATTACACAGCGGTAGGGATTCGAACCGCTGAACTGCCGACCTTCTGATCGACAAGGTCAGCATCTTAGCCGCTGAGCCACCACGTCCCTTGTAATTGTTGCTATAGGGAATTATATTTTTGCTTTTAAGGACAACAGAATTTGTAGTCACATTATGAGTGTTGAAAATAATCAAACTCTTCTAAACCTTTTTACTCATGGATGAATGGCTGTGTGCGCAAAATACACTGAAATACTAGCCTATCATTATGTAGTCTTGTGTGTTGTACAAATTCAAGATGGTGCAGACAACCATGGCAACTGAAGCTCCACCCTTATGGTGTGATGCAAATTAAGAAGGGGTGGGACTCCAAGCCAATGTTCATGCCTGCTATTATCATGCTTTCCACAGCCTTACAAATACCCCTGATTGAAACATGTTGAATTGCTATTTCTATAAGCTGTTTTGCATTAGTTAAGGCTATTTATTTGTAAAGGAGACCACTACTATATAGCCTCGCTAGCCGTTGCTTCAGGTTTCCCCTAAAAGTGTTATCTCCAATAATTACTTAACCCTAATAGTTTGAGATGTTAGTTACAATGCCTGAAATCTGCTTTGCAAAATATGCCCTTGATCTTGAGTTGGAACAGTTTCCTCTCTTGAAGACTTTGCTGCTCCACCATACTGTATTTTGAGTACAATGAATAACACTCCCTGTATATTAATACATCCATAAAAATAAGCAATGTCTATGTGTGAACCATTCTTCATGCTTGACAGAAAAAGGGCTTGGTTATCCTTTATGCAATGAAATGAAGGTGATGCAGTTTAGGTAGCACTTGGACCACCGCTGCATACTGTAGCCACTTCCTTTCACCATTGAAATGCTGCTGTGTCAAAGATCTCTGTGCGTGTATTTATGCATTATTTATTTATTTAAAGCTGGCTTTAGCATGTCAGCAGTGAGAGGCAGGGCTCTGAACACGTTGCAGGAGAAAGCATCGGACTCTTCCTCTTATTTTCATCTTATATAAGTATCTTCTAATAGAATTAATTGTAGGCACAATACCTACCAACTGCATCTGTTTGCCATTTTGCTCCTTGGCCCAGCACCGTTAACATTTGACTTATAACTTAAGAAACAAATAAAAGTGTTCGTGTTAGAATCTCCTACACATGTTCTGCTCCATCTGATTCATCCCCAAATGTTGAGACATCTGTATCACACAAAAGATAAAAGAGCCAAACCATATTGCCGCTTAGAAATGTTTCTCTTTGACTTAATCAAATCACTCTCTTTTATGTCAATGTATTTGTCTTTCACATCTTCTTATGATTATGTAAGAAAAGACATGCCATTAAAAAATTGGTTCTAATATCATGGGAAAAACAACAAAAGCAACATCAAGAAATAGTTGCAACAATACAGACACCAGTATCAAAACTCAGCTAAGCATTCCACTTAGGCTTATATGAAGCCTTATAAAAGTCACTCAATCTTAGTCATCAGATCAAACTAACCAGATTTCAAATGGTATTGGTATGAATGTCCATAGTTGTTGGATTTGGGAACAGATGGGTTGAAGAAAAGTAACTGCTCACAAAAGAGAAAATTAAGATTGCCTCTGTATGGCTGAGCCAACTATTTGAACTATAAAGATGAATAATTATGGGCTCTTATGAAAATGAACCAAGCCTCTATGGCTTTGATTAGATAGACTGTACACTTGGGTAACAAATGGGTGAAACTCAACTGCAGTCAATGTGCCTGAGTGCTAGGCCTGCTGAAATAACCATTATCTGTCAAACAGACCCTATATTAGTATATACTTGTTGGGATGGATACTTTGACCAATATGCCCATATCCATGGAAAAGTCCTGGACATATAAATGTATATATGTTGCCTCTTTTAAAATGATATACGTTAGATCTTTTAAAATTGCATTGACTGTTTTTATATAATAAGATCAGGCCTAATACAAAACTTGGTGTTATTCTTGCTTTGGCTTTTTATAACTTAGCATATTGGGTTGAACCAACTTGTTTAGTTGTCTCCATACACCATGTAAAGCCAGAAAATAGGTTAATTCAAGAATAAGGTAAACACAACCAGTCTTTCAAATCTAAAGAAGATATTGATTAAAACATTTTCCACAACAAACCAAGAGCAGGAAAGATTATATGGGATAAATAGGGTAGCTCTGTGTAAATTGAACGCTGGCTTACAATCTCAGCAAAAAAGTGATAGATACTGGCTGAATCTTTATTGATGCTTTCCACATGAAATCATGTGAGATACTTTTAACTTTTAAGGTAAGGAATAGATAACACTCTTCGAGAAATCAAAGATTTACATTTGGTTTCTCTTTTTATAATTCTACAGAAAGAGAGTAGGCAGAACTAGAATTACAGTTAAGGTTAATTATTTCCCACAATATATATCCCTGCAGTTCTTCAAAGCAACTAAGGCAGCATGAATGGGTTACTCTTCATTTTAACCCTAACATAATTAGGGTTAAGAGAGTGGGCTACAAAATAATGAGGATAAAAGTCACCCATTGAAATCCATCATCAACTAAGGACATGAATACGGGGGCCTCTCAGGTCCCAGACCTATACTCGTATTTACTAACCTACTGACTCTTTGGAGCAAATTCTCCCTATCCCCTTCCTACGGATAATTATAGCTTCACTCCAAATAGCCAGCCACACTTTTGAGTAAGAAATTTGATTCTACTTTCAGGAAAAACAGTTCAGTTCAGGATATGAAACTTCTGTTGTCTTGGAAATGAAGTTCCAGGCCAGAGGGGGTATTCAGCTGGTTCAGACCAGTCCACCCAAACCGGTAGGGAAAATCAGGGGTACCCACCTGCCCCAGCTCTATGCCGTCTTATTTAGGCATGTTTTGAGGCCGGGCACATGCGTGAAAAGGGTCCATGTCCCTGCGAAGCAGCTGCACGTGCGGAAAACTGATGGTAACAAAATGTGAAATCCACCGCTGTTCCAGGCCATCCATATTTAAAGCAGAGTTAGAAGAAAAGAACTTTGAAGCATTACATAAACCCAGGAGTCCCCAACCTCTGGGCCATAGCTCACTACCACCCCATGACTTGCACAAGTTGAGCTGCATGCACATGCATGCTCACGCAGATAAGTTATGTCCAAGTACTCATTCGTTTATAACACAGAAGTTTATTTTTAAAACCAACATTTGCATTGTGAAATTCTACAAGGAGTAGTATTGGCTTAAAGTCACATTTAAATATCTAAGGTTGTATTTTAAATTCTATGTACAACAAATTGATTTTTGTACAATGGTTTTACTTAAGAATAAACATTATTAAAGGTTCTTTATAGAATTTATGTTTGTTTGAAAACTGCTATTTGTACAGAGAGTCAGGAAGGACCTTTGTATTAGGATCTCATATTCTTGGCAAATCTTACTTCAAAATGGCCCTATCCAGAATGCTGAATTGCTTTGTGTCCTTTGTAACAAATGCTGGAAGAAATGCAAGGATCAGCACAAGCTTCCAACAGTTCAAAAGGGAAAGGGAAGTTGTCTAAAACATGCTCTGAATTAAGCAACACTCATATCCTACAGACATGGCAATGCCATTAAATATCTTTCTACTTCACAATCCACATAGTGGAAAATATTTCTTGTAGCTCAGATATCATATTTTAACGATCACCTACCAAAAAATGAAGTCTGGGGATATGATGCACTGTAATGTGCTAATATAAGCTGGCATATTAGACTCGTACCTATGAGATCAGGAAGCAGTTTGCTGAAAAGATTAGATGTAGAGACAATGGTGTTTTATCATGGCAGATATTCTAATGTGGATATTATCTCGTTATAGGCCTAGTGGCTTAAGTGTCTAATGCAGAAGGTCTGTACCTGCAGCTGTTCTGTAAATTATTATTGCATTAAAAAATTAACTCTGTGATTGCTGTGGCTTCTAAAAACAAGTCATTTTTAAATCTGTGTTTAATGAGGAGGTATTTGGTAGCTTCCTGATACTGTCTGTGTTTCCGGAATATAGATATATATGTGGTTATGCTATAACATTATAATAAGTATCATTCACCGTAATGCTGGGGATTACGCAGCAAAAAAGACACTGTACCAGATAATGATTAAAATATGACAGATTATAGACCATTGATTCAACAGTTTAACAAGGCAGAAATGTCACCTGGTGCCTTCTAGGCAGCCACATAATTGTCACTGTTTTAACAAACTCACAAGTTTCTTCCAGTCTTGGAGCACATTCTTGCTTCTCTTTTCCACATAAAAAAATGCAACTAGGCATAAAGATCAGGTTGAATCTACAATCCATTTGATTCCCACATAAATTCCCAATTAGTTGGGAATGCTTTTTTCTGCAGCTCTTCTAACACCACTTCTTCGTCAACAAATATTTCAGCCAAGAAGACTACATCAGATACCAGACTGGACATACACATACACACAGCAACACTGCTTAAGGCTATCTTCTTGTCTGTAAGGAAGCAGCAATATTCCACAGAAGCTGGCATCATTAGGTGATCCATAACTTTGCTATATCTACTAGACTATCAGCATTATAGTAATTAAAAGATATAGCATTAACACCACTTTAGGAGATTGCCAGTCAGCTTTGGAGATACACTCCACAGAAGAGGCAAGGCAGATTCTCTTCCCAGAGAGAAGAGGTGCCGCAGTGGTTAAATGCAGCACTGCAGGCTACTTCAGCTGACTGCAGTTCTGCAGTTCGGCTGTTCAAATCTCACCGGCTCAGGGTTGACTCAGCCTTCCATCCTTCCGAGGTGGGTAAAATGAGGACCCGGATTGTTGTTGGGGGCAATATGCTGACTCTGTAAACCGCTTAGAGAGGGCTGAAAGCCCTATGAAGCGGTATATAAGTCTAACTGCTATTGCTATTGCTATTCCCTGGTGCAACTTCATGGATATTATGATTTCCAGCTGCCAGCTACGCATGTTAAGAAAACTGGCTACCTGAATGTCACACAAGTCTCACCGAGAGTCACATTCTGTATATATTCAACCACAATTAATATCATGCAATTAAGGTCATGCTGGCTGGGGGAATTCTGAGAGTTAAAGTTGAATCGTAAGGTTGCTAAGTATTGAAAAACACTGGTTTAGCTAATCCTAACCTTCACAACTTTCAGAAAAAGTGCAAAAAATATATAGTGGGTATATTCTGTCATCCCTTTTGTCTTAAGTGACCAACAGCTACGTGTAATGGCAGGAATCTGACTGTCTGAAAATGGAATTCTCTAGTAAGATTATGCATCTGTCATGATTACAGCATGGAAGAAGCACTTCTTTAGCCAGATTCACATTCAAAACTATACATTAACTTCTTCCATATTCCACTCATGACAGATTGAAAAAAAATTGGGAAGCATCAATGAGGTTATTTAGGATCTTCCCTAAAAATTATAAAACTGTGATATTTGGATTTTAAAACGGCTATTGCAATGCTTCACTTTCTGTATGAGCTGACTATGTGGGGCATTGTGTGGCTTTGTAAAAGATGCATATATGCACTTATAATAATTGTCAACATACGTATTAGACAAGTTGACTTTAAAGAGAGTAACTGTGCAATTAAGAGTTAATATTAATTAACCATATATACTCATGGAGAAGCTGAAAATTTTAGATGCCAATTAACCCTCAAAATTTGGGTTGGTTTATCCATGGACTTACCTACGGGTACTCTTGATAAGTTTTCCTTTCCAAAATTTTAAGTACTTGTATGTATATCCCTATATAAGCCCATCTGCAAATAAGCAGGGTCTCAAATATTTAAGCAAAACGTCATAAAAAGTGCCACCCATGGGTAACCCAACTGTGAAAATTAAAACAAATCAAAATTTCAAGTGTCAGTTTAGCCATGAGTGAGACACTTTTCATGGTATTTTAGTGAGTAGCAAGAATATTTCAGGCCCAGCTAGTGCCACTTCAGCTTGCGCAATGGGGTTGTCTGATGGCTTTCTCCTCCATATAATCAGATCACTTAAGAAAGCAAGTAGAAAGGAGAAAAAACTTTATCCCTCCTTTCTATACTTCTATAGTAGAAGAAGGTTAGACAACCACAACAATTATGGTATGCAAAAAGCAGACACCTTCAATGGGAGATGATAGCTTGAAAAATGGGTTGATGTCCAAGCAAAACATTCAAGGGTCAGATTATCAGCAGATGGGTTTATAGACGAATATATACAGTATTGAAGAATGCTGTTGGCTTGAGAAATGCAATCAGAAATAATATTCAAGATATTCAAGGGGGTAGTGTATACATCATTTTTCTTTCTTTCATTGATTTTTCTGCCTTCCCTGTTTGTCTTTCCTTCTTAGCTCTAGAAGTGGCTACTTAATGTCCAAATGAAGGTGATAACATGCAAGCTTCCTTCTCCATCACAATGGCATTCACTGCAATTAACTTAATTCCTTTCCACGTTTTCCTCGGAACATAACTAAATGTGAAAAATGCCTCCAAATCTACGACAGATACTGCTACTGATGATCGTGAGAGTCAATGGCACAGATTCAAGTGCAGAATCCCAGGGCGGGAGCAATTAGTGTATTACTAAGCCTAGGGTACACTCCAAATGATTTTCAAAGCTGAAGTTCACACCTACAGAGGAGTAACACATACTCTTCGTTTCAATTCTCTTTGATTCATGTCCCATTTGGACATACTTAAAGAAGTTAAGATGCCTGGTTTGAAGGAGGAAATGCATTGGTGAGCAGACTATCCTCCATGATCCCTCCTAGTCCAAGTCTATGGATATACAGCGGCATTCTTTCACTCGTGTGATCCTCTTTTTCTTGATTGGAGGCTGCATTTCTGGACAAGACAAGGTAACCACCATGGTGGTGAATTTTTTTGGTTTGCAGAATGAACACGATTGGAAGGAACCTTCTTCCCTATGGATATGCCTTGGGATATAGAATGAATTGCACTGGCCATAACAGAATCTATTAATGATGGTTTGGCTTCTGCAGCCTTCCTCTTGGATTATTTGCTTCAGCGGCTGCGTTTTGCACCAATCCCTTTTCAGATACTTTCGTTCCGTGACATGCAATGCCTCTTGGCTTGATTCCAGCACCTCTTCAGTAGATTTGGCCTTCTCCTTCCCCCGGGGTCTGGAGCCTGATGGCGGGGGCGGCTGCTGGGTCTGTTCGGAGTCATTGGGCTGGGCTTTGTCAGGAGAAGGGATGGTTCCTTGTGATCCACGATTCCTCTTACTGCCCTCTGCTGAGGGCAGCAGAAGACTGAACAAAAGGAGGACTCCAACAGCAGAAACTGTGCGAGCCATTCTAAGAATACAAAAAGGAATATTATTATCAGGTTGTTTTCTACCAATCAAAAAGTATATCAATGCTGCAAAAAAGATTTTCTGCGCAAGAAAAATTCAGAAACTGGACTGAAACTTAGTCTATTTATATTATGCTTACTAACAATAACAATAGCATCAAGTTAATATACTGGACTTTATTATTTGAGTCAAGTCAGGGGTGCAAATGTTGAATGCTTACATGAATGGACTGTGGCAAATAAGTAGCAATAGCAATAGCAGTTAGACTTATATACCGCTTCATAGGGCTTTCAGCCCTCTCTAAGCGGTTTACAGAGTCAGCATATTGCCCCCACAGTCTGGGTCCTCATTTCACCCACCTCAGAAGGATGGAAGGCTGAGTCAACCTTGAGCCGGTGAGATTAGAACCGCTGAACTGCAGATAACAGTCAGCTGAAGTGGCCTGCAGTACTGCACCCTAACCACTGCGCCACCTTGGCTCCTCGGTTACATTAAGTGTTCCAACCAAGGTTATTTTATTTGCCAGGTCCTTTATTTACATTTAAAAATGTAAATAGAACCTGGGTAACACCAAAGAAAACAAATAAGTTCAAATATTTCACGAAAGTACTTTAAACAAAATTCAGTGCTTTCACACTAAGATCCTCCATGAGATTTTAAAATTTCTTTCATTTCTTGAAAGATCTGCAAAGGAAATGTCATCCCCATCATTTTTCCCGTGACCCGACAAATGCGCGCATGACAAAAACGTGCCGACAAAACCACGGCACGAAAACTGCGATGTCATCAACGCGCCGACAGAAGCACGATTTAAGTTAAGGTAAGCGTTAGGGTCAGGGTCAGGTTTAGGATTAGGATTAGGTTTAGAGTGCGCTTCTGTCGGCGCGCTGTTGTCGGTGCGCTTCAGCGCTCATTCATCGGCGCGGTTTAGAACTCGCAGTTTTGTCACCACAGTTTCGTTGGGCACGCTTTTGTCGGGTGCCCTTTTGTCGGTGAACCCATTTTTCCCACTACATATCTAGATTCAGGCTCCATAAAATGGGTTTGCGGTACCATAATTATCACTCAACACACTTAATTGCTAGTCTCAAAGATAGGATCACGATAAGGGTTTTGTGGCTGAAGAGAATGGATTTCAAAAAAACCATAGAAACTTGATTTTCAGAAAAGTTAGTTAAACAAAAACAAAAGTAATACTAAAAGGTAAAGGTTCCCCTCGAACATAAGTGCTAGTCCTTCCTGACTCTAGGGGATGGTGCTCATCTCCGTTTCAAAGCTGAAGATCCAGCGCTGTCTGAAGATGTCTCCGTGGTCATGTGGCCAGCATGATTAAATGCCAAAGGCACATGGAACGCTATTACCTTTCCACCAAACGTGGCCCGTATTTTTCTACTTGAATTTTTAGAGAAATTGAGAGCCAGACTGCATAGACCATTAATACAACTTCTAGTTGATTACAATTTTTTTTCTTTTCCAATTTGCAGTATGGAGTTGTGGAGGGGGGGAAATGGACAAACAGAGTTAGAATGTTGGCATGTTTTTGCTCTCACTGCAAAAAATTGTGGCCCCTCTATCTATTGGTACTGCTCAGATTAGGATTCTATGAGAATGCAAAATGATTTAACCTTTCCACATATACATTGTTTAGATCTGTTGGGAATCTGAGAAAGGGGGAAAAATATTTCAAAGATTATATATTTGCTAACACATTTCCTTAAATATTGGAACATTTTTCCCTAGGAAAATGCAGAAGAAAAACCAAAATGTGCTCATCAAGCCTCACTTGAAGATGAGTTGCCTGTGAACAAAGCTCATTTACACAAAACAAGTTCAGGTCATTAATTTAAGAAAAATATTGCTGCAATAAAATAGAGTTTAACTTCTAGTTAAAATGCAATACGGTTTCTGAACAGAAAAATATTTAAGAATCTAAACCAAAGGGTAAAATTAATGTTCATTGTAATACTGTCACATTTTGCATTTCTTGGCCTCCAGTCAGGCTAGGCCATAATTTTCCTATTATTTTACATGTTTCTTTTAGGATGTTATTACTTAATTTTATTTTAGAAATTTCAAAACTTTTGTTTTCTCAGATCAACATGAGCCAAAAAAAGTCTACATGTAGGCTTTGGCAACTGCCGTACTCCTAAATTATAATTGGCAACTAATGTTAAAATCTTAGCATTTGAATCTCATGCTCATGTGCACTGTAGTAAACCCCCAATTTAAAAGGGGGGGGATTTCAACTGGTAGCTTTCTACAATCCTGACCTGATTCATATGACAAACCCCAAGCCAGGTGATCTTTCTTTAGTAAAAAGCACTTCGCATTTATTTATGGCATGATCATGTTAAACAAAGAAGCATAAACTCTGATTCCAAAAGGACAGAGCGAAAAATGACAAGAAAAAAGAGACAAGAGTGAGGTAAACAAAAAACTAACATTACTGTATAAAGAAATTCTCTGTAGAAAGAGAAAGATCTAAAACCAAGGACACAGATATGATTTAGCATGAATGGAAATAATCAGGGATTTATTTAAACCCCAAGGTACCCGACAAGCCCCAAAGTTCCCAACGGCTTTAATACCACATTTCCAGTTCCCCAGAATTTGGCCAGTTCTTAAGATCCAGAATAAGCATGAGACTTCAGATGAAGTAGTCAATGGAATTCCAATTACATTAAATTAACTTCTCCAGTAAGTTATACGAGCTTTAGCAATAACACAAGATTTATATACTGCTTCACAGTGTTTTACAGCCCCATCTAAGAGATTTACAGAGTCAGCATATTGCCCCCAACAATCTGGGTCCTCGTTTACAGACAGACAGACAGACAGACAGACAGACAGACAGACTCACATACACCCTCTTTTTGGACACATTATGTGAAGTCCTAGCTCTCTGAAGAAGATTCTAATATTAGGGAAAGTGGTAGAGTAATAGAAGACGATAACAAGCACCAAGGTGGATAAACTGAGTTACAGCAGGGATAAGTGTACTATTAGTATATCCAAGAGACCAAATTTGGGACAGGTCATCATGGAGAAAGTCTATCTATGTGGAAAGTCAATAATGACTTGATGACATATAATCATCAATCAACATTAACTGTTGAAAGCTAGTTTGGGGTAGTTTCAGATAATTCAGATAATTGATTAAAGACCAGAAAGCTAAGTTCTAGTCTTGCGTTAGCCACAAAGCCAGTTGGTTAATCTTAGCCTAGTCATTTCTTTTGGCTTTAGTTAGAAAGAATTGGCAAGCCACTTTGGAAAAATGCTGCCAAGGAAACTGCAGGTGAAGTCACCAGAAATCAAAACGAAGCCAAAGGCATAATTTCCCTTCCACTTCCAACAGACCTACAGTTGATTGGGCAACAACAATCTGACTTCACACCTGCTGTCATAGCCTCACCCTGGAGCCACCTCCCTATTCACCCCCATTAGATTTATACCAATATTTTTATGTTGTTATTCATCATCTCTACTTGAATCAGTCTTTAATATGAAGCTTAGTCTTGCAGACCATGATAGATTTACACTGAGAATAGGAAAGATTGTATTTTGGATATAATATCCAATAATTTACTTTTGGCCAAAAAATGAATCCTTCCAGTTCAGCTTTGCTTCTATTCTAGCCTGATGACCTGGATTATTCACAGATAGGATACAATTGAGTTTATTTTCATCAGTGAATGTTACAGATTTGCCAAGAAATGCAGTGATATTACATCTTTTATTTTGCTTGAGATTTTTAAAAAAATGTGATATTGAAGTCAGAAGGCACAAAATCAGTGATCTCTCTCTCCGTTCCTCCAAGACATTTTAGAGAAAATATATTAACAGGAAGAAGAAAAGAAATAGAATACAAGAGTAGAATGCAAATGAATAAATAAGGATTTACAAGCATTAGAAATAATTAGAAATTAATTATGAATAACTGAATATTGAAAAGCCTAAAAATAATAAATTCAGCACAGTAAAAATTAAACACATCTCTAAATCTATTACTACACTTGCAACAGCATCCTGAGATACAAAGCAAACACAATGATAATGCCCTACTGGCATAATCACAATTGCAAGTGCTCAGGTCGCAGTACAGTACTAACCTTGTATGCCTGCAGTCTTGCTCCTTCTTTTAATTTTCCCTTTCTAGTTAAAGAGCCAGAGAGAAGGACCCAAACAAGTGGTTGCTAATGCCTTCATCCTTTTACAGAGAGACTCAATATAAACTGAATTGCAAATCTCAATCACAGATCTGTCTTGCAAATGAGGAGAGGGCAGACTATGTTGTCCTAAGAAAGAGTTTACAATACTTTTCTTAGCATAAAGACGGATGTTTCTTTGAAGCTTTAAAATAAATCTACTGAAACAATAACATTCTACCAAGAGCAAAGGTTTTTTTAAAATTTCAAATTAAATTATAAACATGAACTTAGAAATTATAAACTATCAACTTGACTTTTCTCTTCTGCTGTGGGACAATACCTTAAAGGGATGGTTTGGGAGGTGGATGTTGGGTTTTTAAGTTTTTTGCAAGTCAATTTTGATTTCTGCCAACCGCCTCTGCAAGTCCTTGAAGTTTTCTTGGCAAGGTTTTTTCCAAAGGAGGTTGTTATTGTCCGCTTCCTGGGGCTGAGAGACAGTGTCTGGCCCATGGCCACCTCAAGCACACAGACAGCTGTGTGCTTGAGGTGGAACTAGAACTCATGATCTCACCACTACACCAAACTGACTTTCAACAATAAATACCAATGGACCATATATAGATATTTTAATATATCCTATTGAAAACCATTCAATTGGTATACTTTTTGGAAACTAATTTCTCAAACCAGGTCAAACCTTTAAACGCGCTTTAAAAGATGGAAACAGATATAACAGAATGTAATGATCAAAGATATATTTCAGAACATTTAATTCTAGTGTGAGAGCCCATTATTACAGCATCTCCCAAAGATAGTCATCCAGACTCTGTTGATCATTTCTAGTGGTAAATG